AAACACTGGAATAAAGAGGTCTTTGGTCATTTGGAAGGGCAGAAGGCCACAGTGTTGGCTCAATTGCAGTCTTTGGACGATGTGGAAGCTCATGTGGGTTTGGCAGATGAGGAGGTGGCTCAAAAAGAGCATTTGCAGGGCACATTTTGCTCGGATTGCACAGATGAAGGAGGTCAGTTTTAGGCAGAAGTCTAGTTTGTGGTTGAAAGAAGGGGATTGTAATACAAAGTTCTTCCATCGGATGGCAAATGCGTATCGAAGGGTGAATCAAATTGGGAAGATTCGGGTTAATGGGGTGGAGTTGACAGACGCGGAGGAGGTTCGGGTGGGCATTGTTGGGTCTTATGTGCATCTGTTCAGGAGGCTAGAGGAAAGCTGGCGTTCGGGGGTTGCTAGTCTGGATTTTGATATGCTTTCGGATTCTGATGGTTTGGGGCAGCCGTTTGCAGACCAGGAGGTGGTGGGTGCTTTGAAGGGGATGAGTGGAGATAAGGCTCCGGGTCTGGATGGATTTACAATTTTTCCAGCATTGTTGGGAGGTTGTCAAAGGGGATGTGATGACAATGATGTTGCAGTTTTACCAAACGGGCTAGTTTGGAGAGAGTTTCAATGCAACTTTTATTGCTTTGATTCCTAAGGTAGGAGGGGCTGAGGATATTCAGTAGTTTCGTCTTATTAGTTTGTTGGGTAGTGTGTACAAGCTATTTGTGAAAGTTTTGGCTAATAGGTTGCGGTTGCAGGTTGGGGAGGTAGTGTTAGAATCCCAATATGCTTTTGTGGGTGGTCGTCAGATTTTAGATGCGGTTTTAGTGGCCAATGAATGTGTGGACTTTCGGTTGCGGGAAGGTCGGCTAGGTGTGATTTGTAAGTTAGATATTGAGAAGGCTTACAATAATGTCAGTTGGGATTTTTTGATGGCTATTATGGAGCGGATGGGTTTTGGGGAAAGGTGGCGGCGTTGGGTTTGGTTTTGTATTTCGATGGTGCGGATGTTTGTTTTGGTGAATGGGATGTTGGCAGGTTACTTCTAGACATTTCGGGGATTGCAGCAGGGGGACCCTTTGTCCCCTTTGTTGTTTATTCTTGTCATGGAGGCGCTGAGTCGGTTGTTGTCTCGGGTAATGCAGGAGGGCTTGGTAGAGGGTTTTTTGGTGGCAGATGGGGTTGGTGTTTCTCACCTGTTGTACGCTGATAATGCTTTGATTTTCTGTGGGGCTGATCCAAAGTAGTTTGGGTATCTGTGTTGTATCTTGTTATGCTTTGAGGTGGTTTCAGGTTTGAAGGTCAATTTGGCACAGTTAGAGCTGATTCCAGTAGGGGAGTATGTTCAACTCCGTCTTTAGCAGCTATTTTGGGTTGTAATGTGTCTCATTTGTCGATGTCTTATTTGGGGTTGCCTTTGGGGGCTTCTTACAAGGCAAAGAGGGTGTGGGACGGGGTGTTGGAAAGGGTCCAACACTGACTTGCAGGATGGAAGAGGCAGTAGCTATCGAAGGAGAAGGGAGGCTAACTTCGGTGAAAAGTGTGTTGGGTAGTATTTTGACTTGCTTTATTTTAGTACATGTTATTCCTGTGTCGGTGGCTCGTCGGCTGGAGAAGTTGCAACGCGATTTTCTATGGGGAAGTGATGGTGAGGAGTTTCGGTCTCATCTTATTAATTGGGAGCAGGTCTGTTGCTCTAAGACGGCTGGGTGGTTGGGGGTGCGTAGGCTGTGTTGGTTTAATTTGGCTTTGTTGGGAAAGTGGCTATGGAGGTTTTCTCAGGAACAGGATCACTTGTGGTGCAGAATGGTGGATTCCAAGTATGGTTTGGGAAGGGGAGAATGGTGTACTAGGGTGGTGGGGGGTTCTTTTGAGTGTGGGTTGTGGAAGGAGATTTGACTGGGCAGGGTCTAGTTTTGGGATAGAGTCCAGTTTCGGGTGGGCAATGGAGCTCGGGTACGTTTTTAGAAGGATAAGTGATGTGGGGAGGTTCCCCTTCTAGAGCGTTTCCCTTTGATCTATTGTTTGGTGGTGGATCCTGATTCGTTGGTGGCATCTTACTTGGCTGGAGGGGATGAGGGGTTGGTTTGGGATATTGTGCTTCATTGATTTTCACAGGATTGGGAGGTTGGGCAGTTGGTAGATTTGTTGGCCTTCTTATATGGGGTTCAGATTGGGTAGGAAGGGGAGTATGTGTTGGTTTGGGGAGTTCTAGGGGCTAAAGGTGTTTTTTCAGTCTCGTCTTTTTTTGGTCTTTGTGTGGTGACCACGAGGGGGTTTTCCCTTGGCGTTTTGTGTGGGTCCCTAGTGTTTCATTGAAAGTGGCTTTCTTTACATGGACAACAACATTTGGTAGGATATTGACTATTGACAATCTGATCCGTCAGCATCATATTTTAGTTAATTGGTGTTGTATGTGTCGTGCGTATGCGGAAACAGTAGACCATTTGTGGATTTATTGTTCGTTTGCTTCTCGTTTGTGGGTGCTTGTTTTCTCTTTGTTTGGAGTGATGTGGGTTTAGCCGAAGCAGGTTAGGGAGGTTTTTTGTTGTTCGGGGGTGGCCGCGTTAGGAAGCGGCGGCGGAAGGCTTGAGCTTTAGCTCCTTTGTGCTTGATGTGGTTGCTTTGGTTGGAGCGGAATCGTCGGCTTTTTCAAGGAAGTGCTCAATCCATTACATGTTTTTGAGTCTTGGTTTTTGGGTGTTTTGCACAGCTGGGTGTCGGGAAGGGTGAATCCAGATTTATTTGTTTTCTTAGATTTTGTTGATGCTTTAGTTGGTTAGGTTCCGGTTTTGTGGGGTTGATTGTTTTCTTTTAGCATCTTCTCGTTGCTGTGGTAATAAAATTTATTTATCAAAAAAAAAAAAAAATGATCCAGTTGAAAAGTCCTTTTAAGCATCTAGGGGATTGAGGCAGGGTGACCCACTATCCCCCTTCCTTTTTATTTTGGTAGTGGATGTGTTGGGAAGATTGATGGACAAGGCAAAAGAAAAAGGTGAGATTGAGGGTTTTGTGGTGGGTAAGGGTAAGATATGTGTCACTCATCTACAATTCGCGGATGATACCATGTTTTTTTTGTCAAAAGATGAGAGAAAGGTCAGCAATCTTCTTGCACTCTTGACGATTTTTGAAATAGTTTCTGGGCTTAAAGTCAATCTCACTAAAAGTAGTGTAGTAGGAATCAACTTGGAGTCTAGTTATGTGCAAAATTTGGTGACCATCTTGGGATGTCTTAATGAAAATTTTCCTTTAAAATATTTGGGGTTACCATTGGGGGGAGATCCTAGGTTGGAGGCTTTTTGGGATCCTATCCTTGTTAAGATTGGGAAAAGGTTGGAGGGATGGAAGAGAGCGTTGTTATCTAGAGGGGGGGAGATATACTTTGGTGCAGTTCATGTTGAGTTGTATCCCTGTGTACTTCTTGTCGTTGTTTAAGATCTCAGTTAAAATTGCTAGAAAGGTTGAGAAGTTAATGAGGGAGGTTGTGATGGGGGGTTTAGGTTCCATTTAGTTAGGTGGGAGGTTGTCACTTTACCTAGAAATAAGGGGGGTCTTGCCCATTGGCAATGTTGTTGGAAGGAACATTGCTCTCTTAAGCAAGTGGTTATGGAGTTTTCCTCTTGAAAGCGATTCATTGTGGCATTCCATTATTAAAAGTAAGTATGGTGTTCAGGTCAATGGTAGAGATTCTGTTATGGAAATCTATTTCTTGCTTATTACCTATCGTGTCTCCATTCTTGTCTTTGAAAGTGGTAATGGGGGGAGTACTCGTTTTTGGGAGCATGTGTGGGTGGGGGAGTCCTCTTTTGATAGAGTTTTTCTACTTTATCAATTGGTTCGAGTTCAAAATGTGTCAATTGCATCGGTGGCATGTTCTAATTTGGCACCAATTTCTTGGAAATTCAATTTTATTAGGAATCTTAGTAATAGGGAGTCACTTGAGTTGGTTTCTTTGTCGCCTTTGCTTGAGGGGGTTTCTTTGGCTCCTCAAAGGGGGATAGGAGGGTATGGACCATCACTTCGTCGGGAGTCTTCTCATGTAAATCTATGTTTGACCAAATTATTGATGTGCCTTTCATTCTTTTATTTCCTTGCCACAAAAAAATTTGGAAATCGGTTGTTCCTTATAAAGTGAAGTTCTTTATGTGGTCCTTAGCTCATGGGAATGTCATTACCATTGATGTGCTCCAAAGGATAAGGCCCAATTACTCTCTTGGTCTTCAATGATGTATAATGTGTAAGAAGGATGCAGAATCGGCGGATCACCTATTTCTACATTGTCCCGTGGCCTTTGCACTTTGGCAGCGACTCTTTGGTTTGTGTGATGTTCAGTGGGTTGCTCTGCAGGAGTGCATGCCCATGATGATAGTTTTCTTTGTAGGGTTTGGGAAAAATAGGAAGGCCAAAACATTGCGGGCTTGCATTGTTTGTGCGATTTTTTGGATCATTTGGGTGGAAAGAAATGACAGGATCTTTAATGAGAAGGAAGCAACGGAGGAAGCTTTGTGGGATAGGGTGAGACACATGGCATCAGTTTGGGCTTGTGTGCCTCCTCCTTTCATAGATATACCCTTGTTTTTGATTTCTAGGGATTGGGCTGCTGTTTGTCATGCGTAGTGCTAGTTGTGATGTGTTGTAGCTCTTGTTTCTTTGGTCTTTTTCTTTCTATCTTCTGACTTTGTACGAGGACTTCTTGTCCTCCGTTTGTTATCATCTTTGTTTCAATAAAATTGTTTTGTTGTTGTTCAAAAAAAATAAAATAAAAAATGGTCTCTTCTTTTATATGTTTCTCTTAAAATTGTTCTATTATAATGCACACTTGAAATGTTTCAAGTGCACTTCCTGAAATATGTAATATATTACCATACAAAATAAGGATTTTCTCAATGTAATATTTAAGATGAGAAGGCAACATGTAGCAAATATATTCTTCCCTTTCTCCCCATAATCTTAAATTTTGTTAATAATTGTCTTATTTACCCACTCCTATGTTCATGTTTCGTTTTCTTTTGTTGTAGGTCCTCAATTTCATCATATTTATGTACAAGTAAAGGTATAACTCTCACCCTCCTAGCAGTGGCACTGGCGGGTGTGCTAATGTATTTGCTTGCTTTTAATTGATAGTAGGGCATTGGCAGTTGTGCCAATTTATTTGTTTGTTTTTAATTGATAGCAGGGTATGGACGGATATGCCAATTTATTTGTTTGCTATTAATTGATAGCAGGGCACTGGCGGATGTGCCAATTTATTTGGTTCCTTTTAATTGATAGTAAGACACTGGCGGGTGTGTTATTTTATTTTTTTGCTTTTAGACTTCACAATACAATATCAATAATCCCTTATGAAGACATTAACAAATATGTAGAAAAATATCTATACTGGACATTCTTTGATTGGATGTAGTCAAGTCTTGGATAATTCACTGCCAGGACAAAACATAAGTTAAGACAGATCACACAAAGCTCAATATTTCAACTTATTTTACTTTTCTTAGTTTTACAAACAACCAAAATGAGATTTAAATTTGAAGAACATGGATAAACTATTAAAATTAATTGTTGCGCTTGATACATGGATCAAATTTTGAAATTCCACTTCATGTTCTTATGTTTAAAAACATAAAGAGAGCGCCAATTTCGTAATAGATGCAGACTTGCTGGTGGAGCAACACAAAATATAATGTAGAGGATTACTCCAGCACTGACCATAGTTGTATTTTAGAACCTTGGGAGCCATGTTTTGGGGTTGGGATCCCTTTTAGATTTGCCCAAAAGAAAAATGGTTTTATGTCCACAATCAATCACTTGATGCATATGACCTGACCACAACATGTACAAAACACAATAGGCTAAGGTTTATTGCATGAAAAAACTTAAATGAAAGAGATGCGTATCACCAAATAAATGAAATCCACAAAATAAATACCTATATTATTTTTGTTTATTGTTTTTACTTCAATTGCACACACATCACATGTGCCACCTGTCAGCAAATATACATTTTTTGTTTTGCATTGAGTGTTCAAGTAGTAAAATTTATGCGTCATGCTTCTCATTTTATAAATAAATTACTACTTCTATTCAGATAATAAAGGAAAGTAGTAGGTAATAGGTAGTAGGCAAAGGATTAGTCAACCTTTAGATGTAGTATAGAATTTTTGTACATGTATCCCTCCCTCACCTAATTCTTCTGAAAGGGTAATCAATCTAAGGTCAATGTTTCATTTTTTGTTTAGTGTGCCATTCTATTATTTGTCAATAGTTACTAAATCTACACATTTGTCATCCATGTGATTTGTTATGTAGATACCATGGATGAACTTGAAAGTAGTAGGCAGAAAGAGGTCAACGTTGAAAATTTAGACCAATTTGTTTCGGATGATGTTGATGGGAAAGGAGAAGGGTTAGATTCCCAAGTTCATGATAGTTTACGTGTGGTGACTAAGGCTGATGCTTTGCAAATGAAATTTGATTCGGTGGGGGATGCCGAAGTTTTCTTTAATGCATATCCTAAGGTCACTGGGTTTAGCATACGAAGAAGTAGAATAAAAACCAATACAGAGAACAAACTAAAATAGGAAGTGAGTACGTTCAGGGGAAGGTGTTAGAGAAAAGAAATACTTCATGCGTGTGGAACAGTTAAGAAATTGTAGGGCAGAAATTAGACTTGGTTGTGGTGCTACATTTCATGTGCTTGACAAGTCAATTGGAAAATATGTTGTGACTCACTTCGTGGGGGAACATAACCATTCCTTGGAAGCACCACCCGGCGCCTCTTGTCTCTGGTTGCATAGGTTTGTAACAAGTGCAAATAATGCTCAAGCAAAAGCTATGCACTATGTGGATATGAAAACAAGCCAAATCATGGACTTTATGGTCCATCAATCTAGGGATTTTGAGAATGTAGGCTTCATTCGCAAAGATTTGCATAACAAATTTCAAGTGGATTGAAAAAAAGAACTTAAAGATGGGGATGTAGGGGGTGCTTTGTGATATTTATTAGCTAAAGCTGATGTAGATCCGTTATTTTTTTACAAGTATGACTTCGATAAGGAGAACCAATTGGACAAACTTATTTAGGCAGATGCTCAGTCTTGAATGGACTACTCTGCATTTGGTGATGTATTGGTATTTGATACAATTATTAGACAAATACATACAAGAAGCCATTTGTAATTCTAGTCGGCTAGTCGGCGGAAGTAACCGTTTTATGACGACTATATTTGGTTGTGCTTTGTTGGCTGATGAGACAGTAGAGACATACACATGGGTGTTAAAAACATTAATGGAGGCCATGGGTGATAAAAGACCCATCTCCATGGTAACTAGGGGTGGGCATTTGTTGGGTCGGGCCGGGCCGGTATTACATAATAAGGGATTTTGTGTCTGCCTAAGCTTAGCTCAACTCAGCCCAAAAAATAATTATAAATCTTAAGCCCACCCATTGGGCTGTGTGTTAAATTTTTTTTAAAAAAATATTCCATAATTAAATTTAATCACATTATATTTCTTAAATAAATATATTGACATCATTATAAATTTAAGGACTTTGTGTATAAATAGAAAGATTTCTTAAATAAATTCAATTACAGATCACTACAAATGTGAGTTCCAATATAATCAACAAAGATAAAGTCTAGATCCCCAAAAATATATATATTTTAATATATTATACTTAGTTAATTTAATAGAGGCCCGTCTAGGCGGGGTTGAAATTATAAATCTCAAGCCCAACCCATTAATATATCAGGCTGAAAACGTTGCCCCAGCCTGGCCCTATGGGCTAAAACAACTTTCCCAAACTCTAGAAAAATAGGGCCAGGTTGGGCAGGCCAACGAGCTAATGTCCACCTGTTAGCACCTTCTACTTGAAGGCTGCATGGTTGGCATTGGCAGCACCTTGTGCCCATGACCAACTAAGACCAAGGCATGATGGAGGCATGCCAAGACAGCAAGGTGAAGTGTTGTCCAAGTGCTGAGGCAGCAGCACAACCCTTGGCCAAAGTATGTGCAGCCGTTGCACAGATGCAAGGCATTAACATGACCCGAATGTGGGCTGCAGCATGCTTGGGGGTTAAATGCAATCAGTAGGCAATGCTGCAGCCCACATTCGGGTCATGTTAATGCCTTGCATCTGTGCAACGGCTGCACATACTTTGGCCAAGGGTTGTGCTGCTGCCTCAGCACTTGGACAACACTTCACCTTGCTGTCTTGGCATGCCTCCATCATGCCTTGGTCTTGGTTGGTCCCTAGTAGTAACATACGGTGACAGAGCAATTAAAAGAGTTATTCCAAACTGCAAAACATTGCTTGTGTTCTTGGCATCTAGAGAAAAACGCTAATACAAATGTCCACATACCCGAATTTCAAAATGATTTCACATGACGTATCATGTATGTCAAGGGAATGTGAGACAGATGAGTTCGATAATGTTTGGGCTTGTATGGTGGAAAAATACAAGCTAGAGAACAACAAATGGGTGTTGGAAACTTATAGCAAGCGACATCAGCGGGATATATCTCTATGGCCACATGTTTGCTGGGACGAGGAGCACCCAACCAACGTGTGGAGGGTATGAATGCATATTTCAACCAATTTCTACAAATAAAAGTGAGACTATGAATTTGTGGGACAGTATGATAGGGGGCTCTTGATAGGATACATGATGCAGAGGCAGAGGCAGAGGCTGTAATAGGATTCGTATTTAAGTATAGTAATATTTCATTGTTGGCTCCGCCACTGCATTCAACCAATGTAGTTATGACAAATAAGATGATAGCTTGATATAGGAAAATATGATGAGATATATGTGTTTGTAGAAACATATACCTGCAGATTATACAAAATCCCTAGGAACTACTTTTGTTGCTTTTGTTATGTTTCAACCAAAGCTCTCTACTGTATGAAAAGACTTTTTGAGTTAATACAGTTTTGGGGCTTGACCTTGACTGATATCATGTTACCCCTCCCTCTCTCTCTCTCTCTCTCTCTCTCTCTCTTATCTGTCATGCCCAAAATTTTAAGAAGCTAGTTAGGTGGAAACTAATTAACCTAAGCGTGCTTGATCTTTTTAATACAAAATTTTCTTGTTGTATTGATTGATTTATATTACAAATGGTGAGTGGCTCATTATATAGGAGAGGGTGAGTGTAGTAGGTGAGGAGTAGGTGAGGAGTAGGTGGTGGTAGGTGATGGTAAATTGGTGGTAGGTGATGGTAAATTTTAACACTAAGCGTGCTTGATCTTTTTAATACAAAATTTTCATTTTAACCTTGTCCATTCTCAAATCATCTCACTTAATAATTTTTCTTAAGTTTGTCAAAATTCTTATTTGTCTTGTCAAACATGGCCATAGGCGAATATTTTATTTAACTTGAAAATATACTCAATTGCTTTTATCATCACCATCTTACTTAAAAATGACAAAATAGATGCGTTTCTAAAGAATTTATACTACAATGGTAAATGTGCCCAAGCTTATAATTTTCTTAGAGAAATCACATTTTTAATCTAAGGTGTTGGTGAAGGATGAAGAGATTAAGGAGAGGTGGAAGAATTATTTTGAGAAGTTAAGGCCAAGTTTGGCTATCCTAAATAAGTACACACTTTTTATCTTTTTTCCATCACATCATCTCTTTACTTTTCTGCACATATTTTCGTAAAAAAGACAAAAAGTGCACTTATTTAGGTCATCCCAAACAACCCCTAAATGAGGAACATGGAGGTAGGTCAAAAGGGGGAGGAAGTGGGCAGTAATAAGGAAAACCAGGACTATAGGTTTTATCGTAGGATTAGGGACTTTGAAGTGGAGTTTGCACTGAAAAAGATGATATTGAATAAGGCTTTAGGACCCGATGATATACCCATTGAAGCGTGAAAATGTTTGGGTAAGAAGGAGGTTGTTTGGTTGACTAGGTTATTTAGCAAGATTTTGTTGATTAGAAAAATGCCAGAGAAATGGAGGAAGAGTATTTTAGTGTCAATATATAAGAATAAAGAAGATATCCAGAATTGTAACTATAGAAGAATCAAGTTAATGTGTCACATAATGAAAGTGTGGGAGAGAGTGATGGAACGTCGATTGCGAGATATATTAGAGGTGTTAGAGAATCAATTTGGGTTTATACTTGGTAGGTCAACAATGGAAGCGATCTATATCTTGAGGAGAGTAATTGAAAAGTATAGAGAAAAGAAAAGAGATATTTATATGGTTTTTATCGATCTTGAGTAAGCATATGATAGAGTGGCTCGAGATATAATCTAGTAGGTGTTAGAGAAGAAAGGGATGACAAAAGGTTACATTGATGTGATTAGGGATATGTATGAATGTGTGGTGATTAGATCGCCAACTCGAGACACGAGTGAATTTTCAATTACTGTAAGGTTACACCAAGGATCAATTTTAAGTCCTTACCTTTTCGCTTTAGTTATGGATGAGTTGACAATGACATGCAATACAGATGATATCGTGTTAGTGGATGAGACTAGAGAAAGAGTTGACACTAAGTTGGAGATTTGGAGAAAGGCACTTGAATCTAAAGGATTTAGGATAAGTAGAACTAAGACAGAGTATATGAAGTGTAATTTTAATAACAGTCACAAGGAAGTAGATGGGAAGTGAAGATTGAGAACTAAGAACTATCTAAGAGCGGACATTTTCGTTATTTAGGATTGATTATCTCAACGGCTGGGGAGATTGGAGCAGATGTGGTCCACAAAATTAAGGTGGGGTGGCTTAAGTAGAGGAGTGCGTTTGGAGTACTGTACGATAAACGAATACCAATTAGACTAAAAGAGAAGTTTTATAGAATGACTATTAGACCAACGATGTTGTATGTGACGAAATGTTGAGCAACTAAGAAACAATATGTAGATAAGATGAGTGTTACTGAGATAAGGATGTTAAGGTGGATGCGTGGCAAGATTAGAAAAAACAGAGTTAGGACTGAGTATATTCGAGAATGGGTAGGAGTAATACCAATAAAGGATAATTTGAGAGAATAGATTGAGATAGTTTGATCATATACAACGGAGACTAACAAAGGCAGTGGTAGATGATAGTGCTAGGGGAAGGGGTAGACCTAGATTGACATGGACTAGTGTAGTAAATAGAGATATGAATTTCCTTAATTTGACTAACGAAATGGCCTTGGATAGAATCTAGTGGAGAAGAAGGATTCATGTAGCCAACCCCATTTGATGAGACTTAAGGCAAGGCAAGGCAAGGCTTGGCTTAGTTTGGTTTGGTTTGGTTTGGTTTAGAAATCAATAAAAAAAATGAACTACTGTAGATGATGAAATAGAAAAACCTACAAGTACACAATTGTGACACATAATCAATTGACAAATCGATTGTCACATTAAATCAATTGCATGTTTTTATACAAAAGTTACGGTATTTTTAGAAGTTATAATGTTTTCAGATATGAGATACTTATCTGTCGAAATATTTTTATTTGTCGTAATTTGTTAATGTATCTGTTGAAAGTTATTATGTAGTAATCACATTTGAAGTTTTTATTTGTTGAAATGTTTGAATTTGTTTGTTTGTTTTTTGGTTTAATTTAATAGTGTTATCTGTGTAAATAATGTTATACTTCTTTACGTAAATTATAAGTTGAATTTTAACAGATACACATCTTAACTATAAATAGTTATATGAATTCTTGTCATAAATATAAATAGTTATATGAATTCTTGTTATAAATCAATTAACACACCTCACATTGGTTTCTTCCTCCTTATAGCAAATTTCTTCTCACAAATCAAGACCATGAAAAGAAAAAGAACACAATTGCAGGACCTCTACAAGTTACATCCAAGAAGAAAGCAACGCACCAGTCAAGATGATGTGGAAGTACATCCAAACTCTGCTACCCAACAACGAGCCTTACTAGTTCTTCCTTCAACTCAAAAAACAAGATCTGTCCATTCCCTGCCACCAACACAACCAGAAACAACTTCCGAAACCCCAAAAAAAAAGAGGCCTTACCATCGCCATCAACTAAAAAAAATTGCCACACCAGATCCACAAAAAAAATACAAACCGCAGTATAGGTCCAACATATTTGCAGTCATTAGACTATTTGACAAGATCAAACTGAAGAAGCATCACAAGGCTGTGTTAAAGCAAACCCCATTTTGGAAATTTTTTAAGTCAATCATCAAAAAAAGATATGGTGATTCACACAGAACAAAGAAGAATGAACAAGATGTAGCTGATATCATTCAATGCTATGACCCTATCAAAAAAGCATTCCGCATTGGTGGAAAAGATATGGTATTGACCAGCAGAGATATTAGTCTAATTTTTGGAATAGTCCAAGGCTCCGAACCAATCACAACAAAAAGCAAATCCACCAAGGCAACCCAGACCAACAGCAGACTCTTCAAAAATGTGTCCATGGAAATAACAAAGACAATCATTGAGGAAGAAATTGAAAAAGCATTGAATGGAAAAACCAACCAAGATTTTGAGGATGTGGCCAAACTACTCTGTTTGCATGCACTTGTCACCGTGTTCTTTTGCAGTACCACCCACATCCTTCCAAAGGCATATATACAGTATGTTGATGACATACAGGAAATGGCAAAATACGCTTGGTGTGATGCAATAAGGGAAAAATTAATGCTTTCAATTGAAAATAAGCACACAACACCAGAAGCAGTCCATGGATGCGTCATTGCCCTATTAGTAAGTTTCTTGTAAAAAAAATCCTTACTGAAAAACACATCTTATCACACAGTTTTAACATCCTGACCAACTATTTTTTTTTTCTTTCACTTTATTAAACAGTATTGGTACTGTGAGCACACATCCATATTGAAACAAGATTCAACAAATGCTTTCCCCAGATACACCAAATGGCATCTACAGAAGCTTGCAACAAAAATGTATGAACAACCAATTCATACATTAACAGCAAATGAGGTAATATCTCCACTAGCATTGTACAAAAATTCCTAACACATACATTTATATTACAAAATGAGGTATCTGTTCAAATAATGTTAAGATTGTGATTTTTATTTGTTGGAGTGTTGAGTTTGTTTAAAAGTATTATCTATGCATATGGTGTTATACTTTTGGTATCTGTTGAAAGTTATGCAATAATTACATTTGAAGTTCATCTATCTATTGAAATGTTTTTTTTTGTTTTTATATATATATTGGAAACATTTGTAGTACAAATGAGGTAACAATTTATACATTGTGATTTTTATTTGTTGGAATGTTTAGTTTGTTTAAAAGCGTTGGGGCAAAATTCATTTTACCTCCCTATGGTATGTCTTGATAGCACTTCTCTTTTAAAAATAGCCATATGCCCCCACATGGTTTTGGACTAAAAGGCAACTATTAACACCATTAACTATGGATGTGAAATGATTATAATACCCTCAAACACTATTTTTTGTTATTTTCTTTCTCTTATCTCTCAAAAGAATGAAAAGAATTGTTTGGCTTACCCATGAATGAGGTAGAGACCATAGAGACCATATATACATAATAGATTCATAATACAATTTAGAAAACGATATAAATAAGGAAACAATACTAAATCAGTGATTGATGCAATCAGAGTATATACATAATACTAAAAATAAAAAGATTTTATGTACTCTAATTTCTATATTCAACACTCCCTTTCAAGCTGGTGTGAAGATATTTAACAATCGCAGCTTGCCAATGGATGACTGGAAGAAGCCGGAAAAAACTCAATGGCTAGTCCAAATAAATGCTACCGAACAAATTGGGTAGTCCACTAAATAAAAAAGGCCAAAAAGTGCTTAATACATCAACACTACACCTTAGAAAGGGAAAAAAACAAGGACTGAATTGCCCTAGAAGAGCTGCCGAAGCATTTAAGGCCAGGAAACACCTTGATTGGTAGCCAACAAGACCCTGGTTGGCATTAGAGGCTGGAGCTAATGCCGGGAGATAGTTTATGGTTGTGTCGGACCGTTGTAGAAATTGGTCGGAACTACTGTCGGGACAATTTAAGGTCATTCTGGACCATTGTAAGAACTGATCGGAATCAATGTCGGGACAGTTTATGAGGTCATGCGGACCATTGTAGAAAATAACCGGAATCAAGGTTAGGATAGTTTAAGGGGTCATGTCGGACCGTTGTAGAGACTAACTAGAATCAATATTGAGACAGTTTAAAGGGGTCATGCCGAACCAATGTAGAGAACTGGATGTTGAATTAGCAAGCGTGACACACACATAACTTATGATGCGGTGTTGAACGATGATGGCAACAGATGACTGAGTACGCCAAAGAGCAACTTATTAGAAAGTGCGCCAGGGGACGGCTTTGGTGGTGCGTTAGAGGGGGCGGCTTTAGTTGTGTGCCAGAGGGGGTAGCTTTAGTTGTGCGCCAGAGGGGGTGGCTTAGATTCGTCAAGGGGGCGACTTGGGTTGTGCGCCAGATATGGTGGCTTAGGTGGTTCATATGGTATATCACCATGCTAATCATGATATAGATAGGTATAATACCTCTCCTCAAACTCAAATAGATTTGAAGATAGAAACCTATTGAGGTTGAAATAGAGGAAAAGATAAAGTAAAAGAGAAATATACAAAAAAATGGATTGCGAGTAAAAAAAAATATGATAGAGATATTTGGGACAGGAATAAAGTGGATAGAGGAAGAGATCACCACGAAGTAGTACTGAAAGAAAATATGACAGTAGAATGGGTTGAGCTTTGGCGGGTGTCGAAGGCAAGGTGCCACCCGCCGGTGAAGCAAAATTACTAGGTACTTAACCTAGCTTTGATACCAAAAGGAATGAAAAGAATTATTTGGCTAATCCATGAATGGGGTAGATGCCGTGTATATAAAATAGATTCATGATAGAATTTAGGAAACGATATAAATAAGAAAATAATACTAAGTCAGTAATTGACACAATTACAGATTATATACATAATACTAAAAATAAAAAGATTCTATGTACTTAAATTTTTATATTCAACACTCCCATACACATAATTTGTAATGTCTAGTGTTAATTCAATTAAATTACAATTAATTATAAATTCTTAATTATTTATTGTAATTCTTAAATTTTAATTTTAATTTTAATTTAATTATATTTTAGATCACAATTAATCGTAAATATTTAATTGTTTATTGTAATTACTAACTTTTTAATCTAATTTTAATTTAATAATATTTTAGATCACAATTAACCCTAAATTCTTAATTATTTATTATAATTTCTAATTTCTAATGTGTTAATCTAATTTTAATTTAATACATTTTAGATTGATTCTTAATTATTGTTTATTTTATATTTTATTTAATTAAATTTAAACCTATTATTAATTATATTTTAATTTAATTTAATTTATTTTTAATTAATATATTAATCTAATTATAGGTTTGGAGAAAATAGTGGTAAAATTGTCATTTTGTTGTATTAATTTCATTTTAATTTTTTCGAAAACCAAACCCACTCTAAAAAATTATGTATGTAATATATTAGCTTGAATGGAACATGGGGGCTTTCCAACTATATTTGACCGGTAGAAAATTATGTATGTAATATATTAGCTTGAATGGAACATGGGGGCTTTCCAACTATATTTGACCGGTAGGGGTAAAATGCTCCAGTTGCAAACCAAAAGGGGTTAAAATGAATTTAGCCATAGAGTTATATGTGCAATTAAGGTTATACTTTTGTTTTCTGTTGAAAATTGTTATCCAGTAATCATATTTGAAGTTCATCTATCTGTTTAAATGTTTATATATATATATATTGATTAGAAACATTTGAATTACAAATGAGGTATCTATTCAAATAATTTTTAGATTCTGATTTTTATAATGTTGAGTTTGTTTAAAAGTGTCATCTGTTGAGTTTCTTGTTATATATCATTTGAGAAACACATGTACATATCTGCAACTTAACAATCAATTTCTTACACAGGTATTCGAGAATGAGTTGCAAATGACACAGATTGAAATTCAAAAACTTGGACAGCCAAACTTGGCAAACCAAATGTCACAAAATGTCATTTCAGCTACTCCGTTAGACTCAGTGTTGATAACAAATCAACAGACAGACTTGTTGGCAACACCACAGACACAAACCCACAATTCAACAGACCAAGGTGGATCAGATATCATGGTCAATCAACATAGTCCCATCCTTGATGAAACAGAACACCAAAGCTGCCAAGAGTCTCAATTCCAAACACCATGTCAAGAATCCCGCATTGTTAATCAAACAATCTTGTCACCTGAGGACAATTCCAACCTGAATACCCTGTGTCAAACAATCCTCAACTCAGAAAATCTGTTTCATACTGTAGATGACACAGAAACGGTTACTGACACAATCTTGGCAAATATTCAGCAAGACATGGACAGAGAGAAAATCTTTGGAGACTTGGAAGACTATATTTCTTTGGAAACATCAACTGATAGTCTCGGCCTATGTGCACATCAAGCCTCTGTTCATAAAAAGCAAATCAAATTGCTACAAACTGAAAGGAAACAAATGGCAGAGAAAGTTCAACAACAGAACACCAGCATGAAAGAGATGGAAACCAAATACCACAAACTTCTTGCGGAAAACAAGGAGCTAAAAGAGAAATATCATCGAGTTCTGAAAAGCAACAATGAGCTCACAAATCAGTTTGAAGGGATGAAGCAACAAATGAACAACAATGCTGAGCAATGTCGGAACATAAAGAACAAATCTGAAGACTCAATCAGACGATTGAAGACGGTTTTAGAAGAAAACAATGAAATCAAAGAACAAATGAAGAAGATGAAGCAACAAATGAACAAAATGTTGAGGAATATCAAAACATGAAGCTTTCTCTCTTTACTATGCTTTTTGATGGACGCATTTGCACTTCCGAAAGCTTTTATGTTTTTATTTTATTAATTGTAATGAATGTATGTTTTAAAAGAGTGGAATAATATTGGTGTTTTCAAAACCAATAGATAGGCTTGGAGAATTTCTCCAAGACCTTGAATTTGAATCAATTATGGTGTGTTTGGTTGGGGGATTTGGAGAGGGATTTGGAAAGGGAAAGGGAAAAGATGTGTGAAACTAGGTGAAATGTGAATAAAATTACATTTCACCTAACTTTTCCTTTTTCCTTTCCAAATTCCTTCGTAAATTCTCCAACCAAACACAGCGTTAGGGAAATTTGCGTTTTCTTAAAATATTGGACTATTTTTCCTTGAAGTTACGAAGTACATCACTTTTCTCAAAATTAAGTACATTCAACGTAGCTGGACAGGACCTAGGGTGAACCCTCGTGCATGTTAAAGCCCAAGCCATGGGATTATCACTTTAAGGTGAACTTACCCTTCAAAATACAGTGGGTGGCAATCCCGAATGAGGATCTATTCTCATTCCATTGCCTAGTTCATCAATATCTTGTTTACATGTTTACTGCTTTTCCAATTTGTTATCATGCATTAAGCCTTCGTTTGGTTTGAGTGATTTTCTACAGAAAAGAAATGAGTGGTTTGGAGAGAAAAGAAATGAAATGAAAAGAAATTACTTGTTTAGATTACCAAATAGGATAGAAATGGAGAGAAATAAAAAGAAATGGAGAGAAACATATTTCTCTCATAATCTCTATTTTCAATCTCTTTAAAAGTGGAGAGAAATGAAACTAACTAAATATTATTTTGTTGTAATACCAAAGCTACTATTTTATATATAGAACAAATAAAAATGCTAACACCTATAAAAAGTTAATTTGGTAATATAATATTATATCCTTTGATTTATTTTCTTTATATAACTTAATCAAACAAGATAGGAGAAAAATCAATATCATTTTTTTTTTCCTTCTCTTATCTATCCTAACAAAAGAGACAGAATTCACAATATTTTCTTTTCTCTTATAACTCACCTAATCATTTATTTTTTCCTCCCGGGTAACCAAACATAGTGTAAATGATCAATAAATTTAATTAATAAACCATTTGGTCACACACCTTCCTACATTGTATCCTTGTATTCGAATTCAATCTTTGGTAACCATATTTGAACTGTACTTATCTTTGGAGCCAAATTTTTAGGTTTCTTGATATATCCCAAAATCAAGTGGTGATTCTTAAAACCTTTTTCAAAAACCAAAATAAAAAAATTTCAGTGCTGGCACTTACACTATGACACAAGTTGAAGTGTCTAAGAATAAGGGATGATGGATGAGACTTCTTTATTTACGTAAGTGTTTTCATTTTATATTGAACACAATATTCCTATCCTGAATATAAATGATATATTTGTAATTCGTGTGGGGTTACAATGTTAACGTCCCAAAATAAAAAATTTGCAATACTACCTTGCTGAGCCATTATATACAACAATCGATATCCAAATTCAAGAGCTTACCAAATAGTTTACAATGGCCCCGTTTGGTGTAGCTGTTAAAACAGCTTATATATTATAACTTAACAGATTACAGATTATAGATTATGACTTTAATCAGAAGTTATTAATCTGTTTGGTGTAACTGTTGGATTATAGATTTAAATTGCTGAGTAGTGTTTGTTAAGTAAGCTGTGAAATAGCTTTTTCAATTAATTTTTATTTTTTGTTTGTCTACATTTCTTATAAATAATAATAATAATAATCTATAATCCATTTGGGTCTTTTTCTATTTTTAAAAAAATAAAAAATAAAAAAATTTAAGAGTATAACCATAAATTAACATGTCTACAGCAGAAGCTGATAATCAGAAGCAAGGGGTGAACAGCTTCTCAGAATCAGTTTTTTTGAGTTAAAATAAGCTATTAGAATCAGAAGCTGTTTGAAATAAGTTTAACCAAACAGTTCAAAATAACTTTTTCAAAGCTAAAAGTCATAAGTTAGCTCTGAAAAGCTGAAACAAACCCTCCCAATGAATATCTAGTTGCTGCATTGTGTGGCTTGCTTGAATCCTATTGTTTCATTTCCTACTCTATGCAATGTAGGTGTTCAAATAAAACCATCCGAAAAAATTGATTTAAACTGACTGATCTGAAAGTGTCATGGGTGGTTTTGCACTTTCCAGTCAGAACCGAGACAAATTCAACAAGTCCGTTACTTGAACGGTTGAGTCATCGGGTGTTGCAGTGAAGAATCCGTCAAACCCGACCGGACTCAACAATTGCATGTTGTCCGGAGTGGCCACGTATTGATTGATTGATGACATTTTATCTTTTCAAAAATTTCAGTCTTTACAATCATACTTGAGACCACTAATTAGTACTATCAGTAATGATGTTTCAGTCACTGCAGGAAATTCAACTTTTAGCGGCGTTTAAAAAACGCCGCTATAAGTGTCAAAAACGCCGCTAATTCTTTTTGCGACGCTTAACACCAAGCGCCGAGGACGCGGCCGTCGCTATAACTTTATGACGTTTTAAAAACGTCGTTATATTAGTATAGGTGGCGTTTTTAAAAATGCCGCCAAATGTCTTACTTGACAGTACCATGACGTCATTATGATATTTAGCGACATTTTTTAAACGCTGTCATATCTTTTTTAAAAAATCTAACCGTTAATATTTAAGGTTTAAAGTGGCATTTTTTAAAAAACGCCGTGATTTCTCTCTTTTTTTTTTTTTGAAATTGTGTTAATTTATGTGATTAAACTAAAAAAATACATATAATAAAACTGAATAACACTAATATGAAATAATAACTTACATTCAAATAAAAAATGCATCATTAATTCACTTTCCATTCACCAATCACCATTATCCACAAAATAGCATATCCACAAATGATATTTTAATATTACCCCCAAAAATTGTATTCACAATTCTCAACCAAAAAATTAATTACTACTTTGTATACAAAGCCACAAAATAATATTACTCTCTTCTCTCTCTCTATCTCTCACTACTCCCTCCCCCATTTAACATAAAAAATAAGAAGAAAGTGAACCAAAACACCCAACTCCCCAATCAGATCAAAGGAAAAAAAGAAAAAAGAAAAAAGAAAAAAGAAAAAAGAAAAAAGAAGAGAAAGAAGAATCCAAAGGAAAGCTCCCATCCATCCTTCATTGTCATTCTGAATCGCTCTCCATGCTGCTTCCCATCATCACCTTCATCATCCAGTTTCGTTAAGAAGGTAAGATAAAGTAAACATTAGCTTTTATCTGTTCACTTCACTAGATGATGAAGGTGATGACGAGGATGATAACAAGAATGTCTAATAATATGATTGGGGAAGCTTTAGGATACCTGCCCAAGAAGTATTTCATTCAACTCGCTCATTGAAGAAGTTTTTTCAATAGCATGAACCTGAAATCACATGAACCAACATTTAAAACTCCAAAAATCATTTCCATATTGAATGATGGAAAATTTATAAACAAAAAGGCTACATAATGTTGGGTAAATCTCCTTTGAGAGTAAACAAAAGGACATTTTTAATTCTACAAAAGTTGAAATGTGCACATCCATAGCCATGTACTAGTTACAATAAGAGAAAAGGAAAAGAATTCGGACCCACAAACAGATAATACAATTAAGAACTAGAAAATGCATAACCCTAATTAGCATAATTATGTGAACATTATCAAATGCCAAAACATCATAGAATATGATAATATAGTAGATAATTGATAACTAACTTCGTTCAATCATTTTAAGTCTTCAAGTGCTCTGCAAGAAATGATGCATCAAGATGGTCACAATCCTCTAATTATGATGAAATGGAGATATGTGAGTGACATCAAACCTCATCTGTGACTTCTATGTGCCCATCCATGTGTTCACGAGTATCTCTCAGAACTTCCAAGGTTTACTTTCTTGAATTTCAATAATATTAAGCATAATTAAATTCTATGCAGCCAAAATGCCCATGTAACTATAGTACATATCTGGAAATAAATTTCAATTTATTCAGAGTACATGAACTCATTAACAAATAAATCTCATATCCAACTAACCTCCACACCTCCAGGAAAGTAGAATGAAAGAAGATCCTCATACTTAAGTGGCAGCTGTTTTTCAGGAGGATAAACAAATAAGACCTGAAAATAAAAAACTGAGAGGTCATATATCATATCCAAAACATGTCCAATGATCTATAAAATTATTATGTTCAATGTTTAGCATAAAAGAATTAGCACCTGGGGTTCAAGGTTAGGTTCTACACGAGACTGATGCTGACCACTGAATGCACTTCGAAATTTACCCGAACCTTCAGACTTTCTCCCAAAGTACTGCTTCTGAAGTGCCTGAATATCACAATTAGGATGAAGTCCAACAACCACCATGCTCTCAAAAAGCCTTGATGGCTCTTTTAAAGGCCTATGATCCTGCAAATTTGAATAACACACTTAGTAAAACCAATGTTGCTATAAAACCTACCATAGAAACACAAAGGACAAAAATTTCATTTTTATTACGACCATCTGTATAAAAGGGAATGGGAACACACAAGAATCGAAGGCATTTGACGTTATGAGCAGGTTTGAACTCAAATTGCACAACTTCTTATAAGCTTTCCATTCAAAGTAAGCACTACATGGTGAAACTACAAGATATATGCAAGATGACAACAAGTACCAGAGCAAAATGAACAGCTGATTGCTAAAGAGATAAGTAACCTGGACCAAAAAGGGTTTTACTTGAGATAAATATAAATACCAGGGACTGCAATTGGACGCTTGCCCATTGACGCTTTTGGCTAGTTAGTACTTCTGGGTTATAAGTTCCACTTTTCACTTCAGGAGGCTGTGAAAAGCCTTTTAGTACTCTAGAAACTTGGTGTTGAAGTTTATGTAGTGGACTATTGCCGTTGTCATCTTTTGATGAGAATACCACATATGGTCGGGGTGAACGAACAGTAGTGGCAGCAGCAGCTGCAGCAGCAACAGCTCTTGCAACATCTTCTATTGTCTGCATAAAGAGTGAAGCACTCCAGCTAGGGCTACCTGAATCTTCATTCTTCACCATATTTGAAATTTTGCCTCCTGCAAAGCAAAGATAAGCATACATAAATAAGCCCAAGTCCCACATTAAAATAAAATAAAAATCATGTATGGTTTTCTCCCTTAACATTTGAAAATGACAACATAATCCCCATATAATTTGTAGACTGAAATGCACCGTTAAATATTTCGTCCAACTTAAAATGAAATGGAAACACATGGCTGGCATAAAAGGGGTTATATACTCATTTTTAAATTTCAATGGGATAAATAGTATATGGAATAAAACACATGGGATTAAAGTGCCATTTGCCTTCCAAACAAATGACAAAAATATCCGTAGTTCACACATTTAAATTACTTATATACATGAATATTTTAGCATTTTTTCATTAAATCGTTAATGAGCCTAACAGTGCACTTTAATTCACAAACAACGTGGGAGTTATGTGATCATTTTTAAATGTTAAGGGGATGAACTGTATGTAACCCAAACCACAAGGAATAAAGTAAAATTTGTCCAAAAATTTATAATTTTAATTATTAATATTGATAAAAATTTTCATTGATTTGTAATTATTTCAGAGAGATACATTGATATGTAATTTTCCTTTTATTTTTCAGTATATACTGGCAATTAGAGGGTTGTTTAGTTAAATAATTTTCAATTTACAAAATAATATCATACCAAACATGCCCTAAAAGCGGGTCATTTTATGGTAAAAAATTTCGTTCAATTTAGGGGTGGTTTGGGATGACCTAAACAAGTGTATTTTTGTCTTTTTATGAAAAAATATACAGAAAAGTAGAGAGGTGATGTGATAAAAAAAATAAAAAGATAAATTATTTTTGAATTGCCAAACTTGACCTTAGTGGCCCCGTTTGGTGTAGCTGTTAAAACAGCTTATATATTATAACTTAACAGATTACAGATTATAGATTATGACTTTAATCAGAAGTTATTAATCTGTTTGGTGTAACTGTTGGATTATAGATTTAAATTGCTGAGTAGTGTTTGTTAAGTAAGCTGTGAAATAGCTTTTTCAATTAATTTTTATTTTTTGTTTGTCTACATTTCTTATAAATAATAATAATAATAATCTATAATCCATTTGGGTCTTTTTCTATTTTTAAAAAAATAAAAAATAAAAAAATTTAAGAGTATAACCATAAATTAACATGTCTACAGCAGAAGCTGATAATCAGAAGTAAGGGGTGAACAGCTTCTCAGAATCAGTTTTTTTGAGTTAAAATAAGCTATTAGAATCAGAAGCTGTTTGAAATAAGTTTAACCAAACAGTCCAAAATAACTTTTTCAAAGCTAAAAGTCATAAGTTAGCTCTGAAAAGCTGAAACAAACCCTCCCAATGAATATCTAGTTGCTGCATTGTGTGGCTTGCTTGAATCCTATTGTTTCATTTCCTACTCTATGCAATGTAGGTGTTCAAATAAAACCATCCGAAAAAATTGATTTAAACTGACTGATCTGAAAGTGTCATGGGTGGTTTTGCACTTTCCAGTCAGAACCGAGACAAATTCAACAAGTCCGTTACTTGAACGGTTGAGTCATCGGGTGTTGCAGTGAAGAATCCGTCAAACCCGACCGGACTCAACAATTGCATGTTGTCCGGAGTGGCCACGTATTGATTGATTGATGACATTTTATCTTTTCAAAAATTTCAGTCTTTACAATCATACTTGAGACCACTAATTAGTACTATCAGTAATGATGTTTCACTGGGTCTCACACACTGCCGCTGTGCTTTTTTTTTTTTTTTTTTCCACTTCGTTAGTGGTGATTTAGTGGATACCAATCATTACTACAGTCTTTATTACTGAGCTTTTATCTTTCCAAAGACTCCAAGCCTTATCTTTCCAAAGATTTAAAGGTGTGTTTGGTTTGTGTTTTGAGATGAATTTAAAAAAAAAAAGAGAGAGAGAGAGTTTATAATTTTTTTTGATTTGTTTAGTTATATATTTTGAAAATAGTTTTGAAATTTGGGAGTTTGGGATGATTTGATATTTTGTTATAATTGAGTAGATGTGTGTGAGAGAAAAAGTGAATGAGAAGGAGAGATGAGAGACAAAAAGTGATTGATTGATGTGTAATAAAAAGAGAAATAATTATAGATTTTTTTTGAGAAAATTTGTATCCAATCATGTTTTTGAATTTTTTTTTTTTAAAACACAAATCAAACACATCCCAAGTCTATTAAACGTATTTAACTTTATTATTAAATTTATCTTTTCAAAAATATTAGTCTCCTTTTATCTTCCCCCCCCCCCCCCCCTCTCCCCCACTCTAAGGGTGTGTTTGATTTGGCTTTATGAGATAAATTTTCAAATTGTTTTTTTGAGGACAAAGTTTAAAATTTTTTTTACTTTGTTTGGTTGTATATTTTGGAAATAATTTTGGAGTATGAGAATTTGGAATGATTTGATACTTTGTTGTAGTTGAGTAGATGCGTGTGAGAGAAAAAGTGATTGAGAAGAAGAGATAAGAGAGAAAAAGTGATTAATTGATGTGTAAGACAGAGAAAGTGATTTTGAAAGAGAGAGAAAGTGATTTAAAATTTTCTTTTTCAAAATCACTATATCAAACAAAATTTTAAAAAATTTTCTCCAAAATTTATTTTTTAAAAACAAACCAAACAAGGCGTAAGCCTTGTCTCTGCCATCCTTCATATTTTCACATTGTCTATCTCACCCTTTAATCTTCCTCAAACTCTCATATTCCCAAATTCTCACCCTCTCACTAGTGTCTATACTCTCACCCGTTCATCTTCTTCAGCAGAAACCCTTTTTCCCTTTAGTCATGTTTGATTCATAAGATTAATAGTGAAGTATTAATAATCCTATTAAATTAGTGTGGTATTCACAATCCAATTGGATTAATATTCATTGGATTAATAATCCCACCCCTACCCCATTATTAATAATCCTACAAATTTGTTGGATTAATTATCCATTGGATTAAAAATCCTAAACCAAAATGTTAAAACAAATATAGGATAATTGGGTCCACGGATTAATAATCTCAATCCCATACTCTAATCCACCTAATCAAACATGCCCTTTAGTCTCTCCGATGATGGCGCTCAGATATGTGAGACGATGATGGCTCAGATTCGAAAGACTAACGATGGTGCTCAGATTTGTGATGATGGTGACAATGGTATATATGGTGATGAAACCCCTTCCGCTACCGTATCTCCCCATTTTCTCACCGATTCACTCTTAAAATTCACCATTGTTGTTATCCAAATCTCTTATTGATGAGATGAGTTTTCTTTCAACCCGATCTGGTGGTGTTGAGTGGACGGTAAAACCGATCTGACTCAACCTGTGTACAACCCTAATGATTTGATTCATCATGGAGTAGAGTTTATGGCAGTTCACGACCTAAGGGAATGATCAAAAGAACCAAAACTTGCAATTGGAAATTGTTTCAATTCCTTTGCTTGACTAAAGAATTAATCGAGAATCGAGGACTATTGATGATCTAATCTCCACGCTCAGCTTGCTAAGATGGACTCCAGACCCAAGCTATCACGTCCGTATTTTAGAACCCGATTCACATTATCATATTCAACACCATTATCTATTTTCATATTCAATAAAATTTCTGTCTTGAATATACATGATAATTCATTAATTATAATACATTTATCAGTACCCTTATGCCGTGTTTGGTTGGGGGAATTGAGAAGGGATTTGAAAAAGAAAAAGAAAACTTTGTGTGAAACTAGGTGAGATGCAGAGATATTTTATTCACATTTTACCATCATTTTTCATTTTTCTTTCCAAATCCTTCTCCAAATTCCTCAACCAAACATAGCGCTTGGCTTACATAAATGTGAACAAAAGGGGAGTTACCTTCATTAAAAAAAGCATGCTATTCAATCTACAAATAAAAGGCCTTATGGCCGAACTAACATAAGAGAGCTTCTCTAGCTCGTGTACAACCTTCTAAACCTGTATTTGAAAAAAGGTAAATAACGTGGAATGAATATATAATCTAGTAGAGATCTCAATAATTCTAATCAATATAATCATATATATGTATATGATCTTGATGTTTCACATAATATGTATATAAATAATGTTCTCTTTTATAATCTAAAATTTATAAACATAAGTACACTTTTTTTTTCCCCTCGAAAAATGCCATTCACTAACATTTCATTTCACCTTTTTTGTAATTCAAAGGATTTCAATAACTTTGCATAATCGAAATAAATGTACACATGAAATAGTCCACAATGACAAGTCAAAAAGAAATCTCAACGCAACTACTCAATAATTCAACTATTCATAGTGAAATATAAATCGAAAGAACAAGCTATTTACTAACCCACAACCACTACTAACATTGTTCCCACATTTATTGGCTATATGCTTAGAAGAGCAAGTGAGCACCTATTACATTTTCGTCAAATACACATATCTCAATGCAATTATACATGTAAACAAATATCACAATCACATTTTACAATTTCGGGCTTCGTTAAGCCACCTCAACACAGTTTATCGGGTGCAAACTAGAAGGACACTGGAACCTATCTCAAAGAGCCACTGTAACGCTCCAATTTCTAGCCAAAATAATAATATAACAATCATGACTCTTTCAAGGAAAACCGAATATAAATCTCCAAATTTACATTACATAATACAATAGTTCTTCATGCAACAACACATTAATCCAACAACAAGTAAATAAACAAATAAATACCTCCAAGGGTTTACAAGTTTCCAAGGCTTGAGTTTGGTTACACAAAATGGTTATTCAAACCCATACACATACAACCATTGGCTTATACACAGAGTCACAGCAAAATGAGAGTTTCGTACTCTTGACACACATTTCCTCGCCTTTAGTTAGGCGGCATCACCACATCTTTTCCTGCACAAAAATTCCGTAGGGTGAGCATAAAGCCCAGTAGAAAATCCTTAACAAAGTATATACATTTTATACAAGTCTCAAGAGATGAAATGCACATGCCTTGCTATGTCCATTTTGAAGATAAATCACACTTTCAT